CTACTACACCAAATCATAACCAGTTTGGACAGTGCGGTTTTCGTAGGCAGCCTTCAGTGCAGATCGAGAGATATCTGCAGGCTGTGATTGGAGGATATTCTGTAAGATTTTTATGTCTTTCAAATGTACATCCATCCAGTTATTAAAACTGACCATGTTTTTCTATATTTAGTACTGTCTTTTTCAACATGATGACTGATGCTGAATGTGACCACAGCTATTTTCAAGTAGGTGACATTTGGTGCGAAACTGGGGGTGGTGTGTTTAGCTTCCTGTACTCGGAAAAGGAGCTGGCTAAGCTAGTCATTTTTTATTTTTTTATTGCTGCTCTGAGGCCAAACTGTGCACACACGTACAGGTAATAGCTGTTGAATGCTTAGTTATAACGTTACTATAGAAATCTATGGGAAAACATTTGGTTGTGTGTAACCTGTAGTGATTGAAGTGAGTGAGTCAATAATTAACGCTTTATTTTTCTGTACCGTTTCAAAAACCAGATAATTGCAGACAAAGTGTCTGTTCAATTACGTTTACAATTCGCCTAAATACTAACATGACTCTAGAATATCTCCCCCCCCCCCCCCCCCCCCCCCACACACACACACACACCTCTAAGCCGTGCACATTTTCGACGCTTGACTGAGGTTGCTTTATCGCTGGTGATAGCCTTTAAAAGCGGAGGGTTTAAAAGACGGAACAAAACATGTGACTTTTCTTGTTGGAATATCGTTTCGATGAAATGCGACGTGAAAGTTTTGTATGAAGCCGAGTGTCGATCCGACATGTATGCGTTTGTTTGTTGTTTTTCGCAACACTTAACACCAATCCAGCTGATGGAGGCCTGTGAAAGATACACTTGCCAAAGAGACATGCGATGACAAGCTATCAACCAAGTCACCGAGCTTGACCAACCCGTCCAAATGGTCGCCTCTTTATGATGACCAATACGGATAAAGGCGTCATGCATCAGCGAGAACACTTATGTCCAAATTAAAACTGCTGAATGCTTGTAAAGTGTCCTGCTTATATCACCCCCCACAGTTTGCGCTTAATCTGCCCAACTAGTTATCATTTGTCATTTTAGAAAAGATGGAATTTGTCTCCAAGGCAACATTATCTTAACACAGATATGTTAAGGAGATTAGGTCTTTGATGTCACAGACTATATGTGTGAATGTCGCAAAAAACTCATGACATGTCATCAAGCAAATATACCCAGAGGAGTTGAACTGAAAATTGTAAACATTGCAGATCATATCCTCGAGAAGTGAAGCTCTCATAAAAGGTGTGTTCGTACTCTAACAAACATTAGAAGTGCACATTTGTGCATGTCCCACTGTTAATTTATCCATAGTATCCACAGGCGCAAAACAAGAAAGATACTTACTGTTAATTAACTTTTCCATTCGTTAACAACCAAAATAGACTTTCCTTCAAGACACTTGTCTATCCATTTAGAAAACGTAAATAATCTAATGTCAGATTTTGCTTGTTAGTTGTTTAACACCGCACTCAGCAATATTCCAGCTATATGGCGGCGGTGTGTAAATAATCGAGTTTGCATCAGACAATGCAGTGATTGATATCATAAGCATCGATCCCTGCAATTGGGATACGATGTCGCCGTTAGTCGCCTTTTACGACAAGCATAGTCGTTTTTTACGACAGTGGTTGCTGAAGACCTATGCTAACACGGATCTTCACAGGACTCTAATATCAGACAATAATCCGAGATACCTAACATTAAGAGCTTCCTGGACAATCTGCTGTTTTTGGGCGGACGAATTACGCTTTGTCGTCATGTCGGATAATGTACGAAACTCGACGCTGTTGCACACACACCACTTTCCATTCGTCACCACTCGCCCCTTTCCGTAGCCTGTCACGGAATAACACGAGTTGGTCACGAATGGTCCACTTTCAACACGATCGGCCAGTTCCGCTGAAAAATGCGGTTACGAAAATGGTAGACTTACGAAAATGGGCGAGGTTGCCCGATTGTACAGACACTGATGACGCTATCGTAATGCTATTGTAATAGGTAAAGCTGTATTTCAGTCCCTCTTCTGTGAACGTTTGACATAAAAGGAATTGAAAGTGCACGTAAACATCTGCAGTAAGCTTTCATAATGTATACAGGCATACCCATTTACGGTAGCTTTTGGCTTATTACTTACAAACTGATTCACACAAAAGCGCGAGAGAATAAACTTGAAATTCTAGTCTTATCTGGCTTAAAGTGAATGAGATCCGTGAAGATCCGGGGTACAATAGGTCTTCTTCAAACCATGCTTGCTGTAAAAGGCGACTATGCTTGTAAGAGGCGACCAACGGGATCGGGTGGTCAGGCTCGCTGACTTGGAACCCTAATTGCATGGGACCCGTGACGATTCCGGGGTAGAATAGGTCTTCAGCAACCCATGCTTGCCGTAAAAGGTGTCTGTGCTTGTCGTAAAAGGCGACTAACGGGATCGGGTGGTCAGGCTCGCTGACTTGGCTGATACATGTCATCGATCCCAATTTCGTGGATCGATGCTCATGATATCAATCACTGGATTGTCTGGTCCAGACTCGATTATTTACAAACCACCGTCATATAGCTGGAATATTGCTGAGTGCGGCGTTAAACAACAAACCAACAACCAACTAATTGCATGGATTGATGCTCATGATATCAATCACTGGATTGTCTGGTCCAGACTCGATTATTTACAAATCACCGTCATATAGCTGGAATATTGCTGAGTGCGTCGTTAAACATCAAACAAACAAAAAAAGTGAACGAGTAGCCAGTGACCACACCCCACTCCACACCTGACAGCCTAACCGTTAAAACAGATGTGTGAGTAGCGCTTAACGCCGTTTTGAACGGTTTCAGTGACAACACGGATTAATATGTCCGCGTTGCTTGCCCGATGAGACACCACCTGTGTTACATTTGCTTCAGTGTGGGGAAGGACCGAAGCCCAAGAACCCCCCCCCCCCCCCCCCCCCCCCCCCCACACACACACACACACATTCGCGTTCTTTACGTTCACTTCACACAGCAAGTACAGTTTTTTTTGTAATCTGGTTGGGTCAGTTTCAAATGAAATCAGTCTGCGTTGACACAATCATTACTTTACATTAATCTACGTTTCCGGATATCACTTATCCATATCTGGATCAATAAAATAGATTTGTCAGCTGGTCCGGTTTCCCACACATCCACAAATATGGATCTTGAACGTCACGCCAAGGACAGAGGGCTTCAATTCGTTGATTTAAATGGGTTGCTGGAAGAACATAATAACCACATAGACCATGCGTTATTTAAGACTCCCGTTTCACACCATGGGAAGTTAAACATGCACAATTTGACAAACTACAGACTAATGTGCATGTGTGTGTGCGTGCGTGCGTGCGTGCGTGCGTGCGTGTGTGTGTGACAAAAATGAGATTGTTCTATTTGTACAACAACAAAATTCTGGATTTGAACATAACATTGGGACTGATAATATATGATACAAAGTTAGGCGCAGTTAAGCAGCGTTGTTGCGGAGAATCGTTGGATGGGTGAGGTGCTGGGACAACTTGACGTCTGAGAGTTTGTAGGGCTTCGGCCCTGCATCACAACGAAGCACATTTACAGGTGCAAGAGAGTTGTTTTCGAAATACGCCTCTGTCATTGCATGTGTACCCGGTAAGATGAAATGGCAATGTAGTTGTTAATGTTCTAGCGCCTCATAAGGGTTGTGTACTCCCCAGGGAGATAACAATGAAATAATAAAAATGAATTAATAAAAGAATTTTTCTTTATTCTTTGTTGAATATGTGATTGACTTATACATATCTTGCACATTACCAAATAATGGATAATATTATCGATGCGATAAACCAATCTTGTAAACATGATATCAAAATCCGATAAACAGCCAAATAAGATAACCTAACAGGAACTGTTATGCCTGATTACCTGCTGTAGAATGTTCCCGATAAGTTCGGATAGAGGTTTTTGACAGTTTCCCGTGAGTGTTTATGTAGCTTGACCGAAGGCCGAGTAGTCTTTTTCGTCCCAAAGATATGGACACATTTTACTCAAATAGATACGGCTATCGAAGAAACTTTTTTCAATCTCCATGCCAATTATAAATTTTGCTGCACGCTGATTGGCTAGCTATAGATCACGCCTTTTGTTCCTCTGTAGTGTAAATGGACGTGTTATATTGACATTTTTATCATCGTCGATAACCGTGAATCCACCCTGTTATACCGATACCCACCCTTCACGCGTTATCGACTTACCACAAAATGATCTCATTAATACATCGACACATTTTAAAATTAATCAAATAATATAATATTCAATATACTCACTGTTGCATAAATTAAACTGATAATTTAAATTGAGAAAACGTGACTCTCACGTGATCGCATCGCAGCCATGCCGTATTTTCACATGTCTCAAAACATGAAACAACAGATAATTACACAGTCGTGTACATGTTGTGTAAGAAAACTTCAATATGCATTGTCCGAAATGCACCATCGTATTTATATTTGTTATACATTGGAAAAACCCATCATTGGCAAAAATACAATATTTATTACCTAAAATACATATCATTCGAGGAATATAAATAAGTGATATTTGCTGTGACATTAATACGTGTGAATTCTTCCAGATGATTCCTACAAGTGGTTGGAAAGATTCACTTTAATGATTATCAAGGACCATCCCTTTCAAACACTTGATTAGAAAAGCTTTACCGACGGCGCAATGCTAACTCTCACACTGAGTCTTCGATCAATATTTCAGTATTTCTCCCACGATGAAAAACTATAGATTTATAGATTGTGCTTTTACCAGAGGCATTATCGCTTCTTATCATCCTGCGAGGTCTTCACCACCCAAGGTATTTATTTTGGCATTATTTACATAAGCATCACTACTGCCACCTAGCGGTCTGCTGGGTCGGTGGCATCGATCGTGATGTCGACAACTGCATTACTGACTAATATTGGATTTCCTTGGTATAATGTGGCCGAGGATTTATCTGTGTCTTCCCTTGTCGCTGTATGTATATTCCATATTTTATTGAACAATTATAGTTCTGCCATTGTGACGATTACCTAAGGTAAAACATCATCGTCTTTGTCACCTCCTTGATGGTAAGTATTAAATTATTTAAAGAAACGTCTTGACAAAACTGTGTTAGCTCTTTGAAAGGCATTTAGAAGTGATACACATAAGGAAGAGAATATAAGGATGTCAACTTCTTTATTATGAGGAACACAACGTTTCGGAGTATATGCTTACTCCTTCATCAGGTGAATGAATGCCATGAGGCAGAGAGCATATATGTGTGCAGGTAAGGACAACGAAATAATGAGATAACCAAAGGTAGAAAATAAAAAAGGGTAGAAAATAACAAGGGAAGCCAACAGATGGTTGGGGCTGATAGGTGATTAGCAATAGACAAAGGAAGCCAAAACATTACAGTAATTAGCGCTGAAGGTATGGAAGCCAGTACTTAAGTTCGGGCTTTCACTGTCTATTGCTATCCTTTCGTTATCTTATTATTTTGTTGTCCTTACATGTACTTACATATGGTCTCTGCCTCATGTCATTCATTCACCTGATGAAGGAGTGAGCATATATACTCCGAAACGTTGTGTTCCTCACAATAAAGTTGACATCTTTTCCGTTACTAGCATGTACAACGTACTGAAAGTATTATTTTTATAAATCATGTTTTGGTAGATTTTCAAATGTCATAATTAGTAACGCTTGTATCAATGTTTATTGTATTGTGTGGGATGTATATATTACATATATTATATTTTATGTTTGCACCAGAAAACTGTATCATGTATTGCGTTAAACCTACTAATATTAACTTTTAAATATTGTACAAAAAATAGAATATATCAGATTTGAATAGCTCAGACATTTGTATGATAAAAGCGACTAACCCCTGTTAGAAATTACCCCCATTTCAGCTTTAATCACAATGGCCTGATCTCATTTGGGAACTCTTTCATGACACTGTCACGGCGCGCAAACATACATTGTGTTAATGGCTCCTTTATCAGATTGATCATATCTCACAACACATGTAACAGATCAGAAATGCGTTTGATTGCAGTTCCAGCGTATTTCAGTCTAAATCCATTATGCGACCCGTGCTAAAATATTACTCTTTAGTGAGTTAGCTGTTCACCACTTCAAACAGATGACTTGACCCCAAACATTTTAATTATAATTTCTTTTAAACATTCGTCTCTTTTCCATTGTGTTTTGATTTTCTGGTCTAATCAAGAAACGTTGGAAAACATTGCCGATCAGGCAGTTGCCATTTAAAAGTAATATTGTGTACTATTGATTAACCCCCAAAAGACACCTTACATATACCCGTGGGGTCATCAGGCTTTATTTGACGTTGGCGAAACCAATGACCATGAGAATGGTGCTGACAAACAGTGAAATCCTAACCGTCAACGCAAGAAAATAACCAGTCTTGATTATGAGGTGAGGTGAGGTAAAATTGGGTTTAACGTAGCGTCCAAGATTATTGCACTTATATAGCGACGTGCATGCACGTGTATGTGTGTGTTGCTGCTTGTACTAGTCCGGACTGATGCCGATTTATAGTGCTAGCTCACTGAGATACCATGCCGCAGTTTAACATGAATACCCCACTCAGACACAGTATACTGACTCCGAGCCGACCAGTCCCTGTTTTAGCCCCTTAATGCTTAATGCCCCTTAATGCCGAGCGCCAGACAGGGTAACAACAAGTACAATCTTTTAACGTCTTTTTGTATGACGCGGCCCGGGATCGAACCCTGGACCTTCCGCTCTCCGGGCGGACGCTCTACCACAAGACCACGGAGGCGGTCCTCTTGATTATGAAACGAAACAGTTTCCATTGGGCCTACAAGGCAAACGAGCGGTGAAAATTATATAAATAGATCAGTGATGGCACCCGGTGTTCGCGAAACGGGTGAACATGTCCTGCCCTACCAGAAGCACCTGGTTCAGCTGCAACTTTTGGAACTAATATCAACATAATGTATGACAAGAATATTGTCAATTTTTTAAAAGAAAGTGTGCATACACTCACCTACGCCATCTCAATATTCCTTCAAATATTATCTACACCCAAATGTCCATAAGGTTAATATTCTTTTATCTACAACCAACACAAAGCTGATTATTAATATCGCTAAATATCTGTATCACAGTAAAGAAGAGAGAACACGTATTTTATCATTGTGACTGTTGCCATAAATATGCCATACATTTTGCACAAAGGGCCTGTGGCCTGTACTGTACTGAATAAAGAAATCAAAATCGCACTATGTTTGTTAGAAAATACGGATTTAGTAGGTAATGTAAGCCATAGATAACAAGGAGGAAATACACATTCGTACACTCTTTGAACATCCATCGTACACTCTTTGTACAGTTGTCTCGTATTATTGATTTCGCTAAACATACAGAGAAGGTTTTTACACAAGGAAACGACTACAACGTCAAAACGTACACAGGAAAAACGCAATGGATTGTTGAGCATGGTAATATTTACAATGCTTTTGATTTCAGTCGAACCTTTTAGCCCCAATTACTGGCACACGTTAATAACCATATATGAATTTGCAATTAACTGATCCATTGATTGGTTCTTCAATTGCACAGTTCTTCTTAAGTCTCATCTGTAGCGTTATGAGATATGACAATATGGCCGGACGTCTCAACACCTATACCTATGTTACATGCTTTGCAGTAATTGTTGTTATATTTCCAAGTCTCTAACTTGAACCCATGGGTTTCACCAAAGTGGTTCACGTCTGAGACCTGCGTCATTTCGGGCTTTCCTCCTCCGACACGAGGTGATATGATTGGAATACTGTTCAAAGCGGCGTTAAACTCAATGGCTTTCTAAATTGAGGTGAAATGGGGTTTAACGTCGCGTCCAAGATTATTGCACTTATATAGCGACGTGCATGTACGTGTGTGTGTGTGTTTGTTTGGCTGCTTGTACTAGTCCGGACTGATGCCGATTTATAGTGCTAGCTCACTGAGATACCATGCCGCAGTTTAACATGAAAAACCCACGCAGACACAGTATACTGACTCCGAGCCGACCAGTCCTTGTTTTAGCCCCTTAATGCCGAGCGCCAGACTGGGTAACAACAAGTACCATTTTTTAACGTCTTTTGGTATGACGCGGTCGGGGATCGAACCCCGGCTCTCCGGGCGGACGCTCTACCACTAGACCACGGAGGCGGTCTTTCTAAATTGAAAACACAGTAGATTTATCTCCATCCCAATATGACAAATGGCAACTTGTTTATAGAATGATGTGGCATCGGTTAAGAAGAAGGTGAAAGTACTAGGATCAGTGACATTGATTTATCTTCCATATGTACCATAATGTACACCAAATTATATAAACAACTCAAATAAGACAATATAGTTATATCACGCCGATATCCTTTAAGCGTTGGTCACACAGAAAATGAAGGGCCGTATTCGATTACCAACATGGGTAGTGTGTGAAGCCTATTTCTGGTGTTCCCTTCCGTAAGTGGTTGAATATTGCCATAAGCGGCGTAAAATCCATCTCACTCTCTCACTCTAAAGTAAACACTACACACTATAACATGTTACCGAGAATACCTACACTCGCTCAATCATTGTTTGAAAACTATGCCGCATAAAAATATTGCCCCACTGGCTTTGAATAATCTAGGAACCACAACACGTTATTTAGCAACGCTTATGAAGTAAGATCAGTATTTGGAAAATCCTGCCGGTGGGTTTGCGGCCATAAACAACATCATGGTCTAACATAGCTTCTATATCACTGCCGGAACAATCAGAACGCCTGATCCTTAAAAGTCTTAGCGCTAAGGTGATCGTAACTCCCATGCCTTAACATAGACTTACGACAGTCGTAGCGCTAAGGTTGTTTTGTACAACGGCACCCATGATGGTAGAATTACGCCTTACGCTCAAAGCCTATTGTGTTGCAAGCATGGATGTGCACACTAAATCCTGCAATATACTTGATCATCACTTGATCCATAAACTCTATCCATCTAGTACTTGTTCCATAAAATCTATCATATTTACTCTCACAAGGCACATTTGAAATACCTTGTTATAGATACATATATCAGGTTTATATAAAATACAATGCGTTCAGCAATGTGCCTTCAGGCAAAAATAAAGGTGAAGGCCTACTTCGATCTCTCTAAACTGTACTTTCATGGTACTTGCGCTGAGATTATAGTCTTTTTACCATCGCGAACCGTTATGTCTTTACTATTCCTTAATAACTCAGATGTGCACATATGTAATTCTTTAATTTTTTATTATTGTGAGGTAGTGGATATTGTTTTACGCCGCTTTGGCAATATTCCAGCAATATCACTGCAGGGGTCACCAAGAATGGGTTTCATACCAGTCCAGGTCACCGGCGCGACGCGCGGACGCTTTAACCACCAGGCTTCCGCACTGCCCCATTCAGTTATTATTGTGTATGGAATCATACAGTTTTTGTTGTTGATTTTTAAATATTTTTTATTCAATTCAGTATATGATGTTACCTAGTTTTACATAGAGTAATATGACATGTAGTATACTTATTAGGCGTATTAAGATACCTGTACATCAGACAGCAAACTTTAGTTGGCTACAGGTGTACAACAATGTTCACAAGTGGTGAACGAGCAGGCTACATTTGCCATACTTATTGGGGTCCTCATTAACTTAGTGTGAAGCTAAATCCTTACAGCACATTAGTGGAAATTGTTCGTGTTCAAAATAGAGACATTAACTAGACAATTCATTTGCCATTTTTTTTCCATTTTTATGACAAACTGTCTTATTGTATTGTTTTTGTGTGCAATTGATTTTTCTATCCGAAATATATTGATTAAAGTCTTCAGAAAGTTTTCAAATGACAATTTGTTTTTCTTAATACTTGATACATGTATATTTTTCGCATGCCAGTTGTTTGAACGGACATAGTTGCAGGTTCGAGTGGTTCCATAATCTTTCAAGAAAAATGATTACTATTACGACATTAACCTTATTTGTACATGAAAGAAATACACTTCTGAAATCTTCCTTTTTTTCAGAAATAGGTCCTCCGGAACGATGCTTCTCTGGGTAACAGTTTTAAAAGTATCTATGACATTTGCAGTCGGTTTGAATTTATGTGAGTACTATTATTATATGTGTTTATCGTTACGCTATATACACAGCCATAATTTCAAAGCTTGAAATATGTTGAAAGATGGACATATGGCACTAAATACAATGTGAGTGAGTGGAAATGGTTTTATGACGCTTTCGGCAATATTCCAGCAATACCACCAGAAATATGCTTCACACATTATACCCATGTGGGGAATCGAACTCGGTTCTTTGTCGTAACGAACGAACGCGTGTACCACTAGGCTACCACACCTTCCCCCTAAATACAAAGTCAAAACATAGACTGGAAATAGCCATGTATAGAATGATATATTTTTCAATTTAGTCGCACCTTCAGGATTAAAAAAAGTTAATAACGCTATGTCATATTGCAGCTACTTTAGCTTTGGATAGTTCTCTAGTTAGTTCTTAAAGGACACAGCTCTTCTTAAGTCACACCTGTAGTGTTACGAAATGTGATATCGAGGAAATATTGAAGTTCAGATCATTTGTTAAAAAACAACACCCCAAAATTTACTAAGGCCTTGACTGTTCTAACTGTTGTAACCCTGATTAAGTAACATTTGGGAAAGAGTCGTATAAGTAACATTTGGGAAAGAGTCGTATGATACTCTAGACAACTTTGAAAAACAGAGCATTCTCAATTGTGCCTCAAAAAGTTGTGAAATGTGAACACCAAAGGTTTGAATATTGTTCGCCATGAAAGGAAATTTCCCTTGTGGAAAAATTAAGTCATCACTCCTGTCGTCAAGTCTCGAGGGTATTTTTTGTCACCTGAATCTTTATGCATAGATCTAAATGTGAATCTTATGGTGTCTTATATTTCTAGCTCAGGTGGGTAAATCAGTAAAAAGGAATTGTCCGTTTGGACATTATTGAACGATATCAGATCATCACATACCTGAAGCTTAAGGTCAACTTCTTGACCAAATTACCCTGTTTTGATTTTGCCATTCCGAGCAGAAATCCGAACCAGCAAGGAAGGGAGCACAACTGGCGACAATTGGGATGCCTACGTCTTGCCAAAATGTCCCATCTCCATATTCCACATTGATGTTATCTGTCCAGCAATTTGCACATATTGTTTTCTCAGTAAACTTGAGATGACATTTGCTTTCATTTTTGACAAGGTACCCTGATTCTGTGAAGATAGAGAAGTAACAATATCTATGGTCACCACGTTAAAAGACAAATGCCCCATGGATCAAGGAATTAATTTTGTCATTACGTTTGCCGGGTGGGAAAGTGGTGAAAGTTGAACAATCAAATATTTTGATATAATTGAACTTGTTTAATTTCTGAGATTACAACAAAAATCATAATTTTGGAATCCAGTACAAAACAGGAATGGACATGTTTTCAGGTTTTTGAGTCAATGGTACTGATGCATAGTGTTAGCAGATTTCTTCCTGGGGTAACATATTGGCATTATGTGTGACATTATTTGACTTATTCCAACTTCATTGATTATACAACTTATGTGATGATCTTTACAAATAATGGCTATATCATTTGAGACTTCGTCAGTGAGACTACCAACTTTTCATGCAGCCAAACATTGACAGCTTGCTGGAGTAGAATGGGTTTATTCCAATCCCGAGGACTGCAATCTGAACCATATTCGTGTTGTAGCACCCCGTCTGCAGCGCAGTGGGGCGGTTTTGTCTTTTAGTATTTTAGTAAAATGCTACGTTAAATGCAACATGATCACCAGCAGACAAATAGACTTGGTTCACGTAAATAAAAGCCACAGATCCCGGTCCGCAATCAGAAGAAAATTCTGCTTGAATTAGAGTCCATTGTCATAGATCATAAGAATCTGTTCATAAATATGGATCAAATAGTGATGATACCATGTGTATATACATGATGCAGATATGAAGTTTATCAAAATTTGGGCTTATTTGAATTTATCTTTTTAAGGACTAAATCATATTCTACCACGAGGAATGATTGATTATGACTGGTCAAACCAAGATCACAATCAGGTATCTAATTCAATTGGTTAAGACATTGCGTATGAAAACATCGATTTATCAATGGCCGCATCGATGCATTTAACAATAGCTGCCGATAACTCATTAGGATTGTATATGTTCAATATCAGAGCAACAGCTTATCAAACATGATGAAATCTATTTCAGAACACACAATTAAGTCAGACACACTTTCGAAACTGTGTCAGAGCCACACAATCATCTGTCACGAAAAAGTGCAGTCTCTCAGACTCATGGCGTACAATGCTGAATCGTCGTCATGTCAAAACGGCGGTATTCAGCCATTCTTCAGGTTGGTTCCGTTGGCATTGAGGTTGTGCTGGCAGGATAATTTTAACCAAATGGTGAACATAATTATAGAATGCTCCGGGCCACTGTGGAAAGAGTACTGTCATCGTGAGCAACTCTTTTGGCTGCCTTTGGCAATGAAGGAAGTAGGTCAAGTTCAGCCATGTTGAAGTTCGAAGTGGAAAGATAGCCATTCCGAATTATGTATTACTGTTACAGGGGAGTTACAAATGGTGCATTATTTTGAATACACGTAATTAATCTTGAACTTGAGTAATATCGTTTTATTTTCGGTATGTATTTTCGGTATATTTGCCCATGGGTAAGCACTTGTTCACGAGAGCATCTTTTTCAAAGCGCTCCTGCCATCATGGTGGAATCGTGATAAATCAACTGTTTCGTAATTCAAATTAGAGGTATCTATTATACATTTAGACAACCTCAAACCCCAAATGTAGGTTATCCCCCATTTGGATACATGACCTACATAATGCTGATATTTTAAACAATTGGAGGGAAATTTAATATATATTGATATATTTCTTGAAAAGCGAATTAAAGATTTCCTTAAAGTGCGAGCATTTGATAGCACTTCATCGCAAGTCTGCTCAATAGTGATCATAAGAATTTATTGATACGAACTGACAATCGATGACGTGCTGATACTGTTATGAGGGTTGACATGTATGTGCTATATTGCTTAACCACACTTCCGCGTAAACAACATAATTGTCAAGACTGACCAGGATCGTTAGATGCCGTTTGAATGCGTATATGGATAAAAAAAGAAAGTCATAAGTGAAAATGTCTGTTTCTTTGAAAAGGAACGGGGGAAAAATAGCTAGATATTCAGCATGACATGAACACCCTCATGTAACGATGCATTTGAAATAATAGAAATTGTATTGCAAATCCTTCGAGAACCTATCGGGTCAATATTCAGCTTTATTTAACACTGGTATGCTTTAAATCTTCCAAAGAAGAAGAGGTGATTGAGTTAAGTGCTTCAAGGACTTCAAGCACTTCTCAATATGTTAGATATTACCTTAATCACAGATAACTTGCCATAATGGTTTCTCATGACCTTCAAAAATGTTAAATATTTTAATTTTAACGCGCACCAATAGTTCAGAAGTTGATACCTCGACGTGGTACTGTAAACTGGCACACTGTAAAAATGCAAATGTCATGTTCCTCTGTACATTAAATGCATTTAATTGATTAATTGTTTCAGTTAGAGCACATAGTAATAATGAAATGGGGTTATAATTTGATAACTTGTGCAGAAAGCTGTTTATGGTGTCATCGCAAACACTGTGGTCATTGTGTCATTGTGTCAAGGGTTATTGTGTAATTATGTCTTTGTGTCATTGTGTCAAGGATTATTGTGTAATTATGTCTTTGTGTCATTGTGTCTTGGGTAATTGTGTCATTGTGTTAAGGTTTATTGTGTAATTGTGTCTTTGTGTCATTGTGTCATTGTGTCAAGGGTTATTGTGTAATTATGTCTTTGTGTCATTGTGTCTTGGGTAATTGTGTCATTGTGTTAAGGTTTATTGTGTAATTGTGTCTTTGTGTCATTGCGTTTAGGGTTATTATGTAATTATGTCTTTGTGTCATTGCGTTTAGGAACATTGTGTCATTGTGTCTTGGGTTATTGTGTCATTGTGTCTTATGTCATTGCGTCTAGGGCTATTGTGTAATTGTGTCGTTGTGTCATTGTGTCTAGGGTTATTGTGTCTTTGTGTCATTGTATCTAGGGTAATTGTGTCAATGCGTCTTGGGTTATTGTGCCGTGAGTCTTGGGTCATTGTGTCAGTGAGTTTTGGGTTATTGTGTAACTCTGTCTTTTTGTCATTGTGTCTGGGGTTATTGTGTCACTGCGTCTTGGGTTATTGTGTCGTTGAGTCTTGGGTCATTGTGCCAATGAGTGTCGAGTTCTTGTACTAGGCACCTAAGTCACAAATCTGTCGTAGAATGTCAGGGAAACATGAGGTCATAGTTACTTCTTTAAGTAGATGTACTGCAGTACAAACATATACTCAACAACAAAAGTTCCTGTGACACCAATATTTTAGTGTATTTTTCAAACAAGTAAAGTTTGGTTTTCAATATTGTAATACATGTATGGAATCAAGTCACAAAAAACGCAACTGCTACAGAAAAGCATGATTCCATGCAAAATTTGACTTTTATGCAAGTCCCATGCATTTCACTACCCAAGAAAGGGTGTGAAAACATGTGCGTTAACGGGATTCCATATCCATTGTTTAGCATCGTGCTGTCAACAACCACTCAGAAAATTACGCAATTATTCAACATTACGAAATGCCATGCCTGTCCGAAAATGAGTGTCTGTGAGCCATTGGTATGCTTGAAGCAGGATCAAGTCAACGTGATGTTGCAAGACAATTTAACGTCCACAGAAACACCATTTGGTGTTTATGGCAATGTTGGCAACAGACGAATGCAGTCAGAGATTCGAACAACACACCTACGAAATCGATTCCAGCCAGCAACAGTGACTGCAAGAAGCATCCCTGGCCTTCGACGAATATCTTCACCGTACGTCGTCGCCTCAGATGTGCAGGGATTGTCGCCAGAAGACCCGCCAGACATCCCATTTTGACAGGAAACCACCCTCAAGCACGCCTACAGTGGTGCAGACAGCGTCTAAGCTGGATGGCCATGCAGTGGGGACAAGTTCTATTCACTG